TGGTTCTCAACCTTCCTAATGCTGCGACCCTTTAATACAGTTCCTCATGTTGTGGTGACCCCCAATTTCATTGTTACAAATTGAACATAATTAAAGCATAGTGATTAATCACAAAAACAATATGCAATTATATATGTGTTTTCCGATGATCTTAGGCGACCCCTGTGAAAAGGTCGTTCGACCCCCAAAGGGGTCGTGACCCACAAGTTGAGAACCACTGGTCTAGTTGATTCAGAAGCCTCCTGAATGATTGCACACCTGGGTCCAGGTTCAATTACTGTGAGATGACCCAGGTCATAAAAATGGCCATGACTCGCTACCACAGTTCTGTGTTTGCATTTTTATTCTGTGGATTGCAAGACTGGCAACTCCTTTTCTGATTAATTGGCCCTTAAGAGTGTCACTCATCACTTTATTTCTCATTGCCTGGTACATCAGCCTGAATCAATGAATAAGGTCTGAGCAAGTTTTCCAATAGAAAAGTGTGAAACTCAGAATGACTTTTCTGGATTGGCCAAAGAACTTCTTACCAAAGAAGCCAACAGCCAGAAAGTCTGACACATAGTCAAAGAGAGCCAAAGGCTGTCCACATGTGCACATACAGGTGACAGTTTCTAATAGGATGGGGGGCTTCAGCCCCAGGCAAATCCAGACCTGCGGATCATGCTATTCAGCAGCAGGTCAGGGATGAGAGGTGGCAATTCCTTTCATGCTTAAGATTGTGAAAAGGCTTTAAGTCTATAGTGTCAATAGCAGCGAAGACTGCAAGACACCATTTCTCTCTCCTTACTACCCGCTTGCCCCTCTCTCCTGGCTCTTCTGGTATTATTTCTTAATGAGGCATATAGAGTTTTCTGTTCTATTTAACCAGAACAATGAGTAAAATATGTATTTTTCTTTTTCTGAAATCAAGCAACACTTAGTATTTTTAAGGCTTTGATTGATTAATTATTCTTGTTGAGCTAATGACTAATAAGAAATGAAATCCCCATTGAAGTGGGGGTGGGGGTGGAGAAATAGATATCCTCTTTGTTTAAAAAACAAACACAAACATACACGTAGAGTGTCGAAGGTTAGTATTTCACTTGCATTCATTAGAACCACTGCAATTAGATCTAGAACCACTCTAATTAGAACCAAATAAATGGTGCTTACATCACAGTGCTGGAGCTTTTTCGTTGAATCTGGATCCCGAAAGGATGGTTTTGAATCCTGACATCATACAGACGGTTTTCAGGCGAGCCAACAGGAGAGGAAGGAGTGTTCAGAGGCACTGGGACCTCATACCTTTTATTAGTGGGATCATAGATCTGACAGTGAGAAAGAAGAAGACTTTCTGATGGAATCTCAAACCTAAAACCTCTCATACCAGCTCAAAATTCAGTTCCCATCAGGAAGCATCAAATATCCCAAAGCAAATAAATGTGAGGCCTACCCACCCACTGTGCCCAACACAGATCCTGAACTGGGAAAAAAAAAACCACCCTCAACAATACCCATCAAAGCCAGGGAGGACACTACCTCTAAGGAATTTGAAATTTAAGGGTGCAGAATCTCATAGACAGAACGTGTGCATGTGTGTTTCTGAGTGCGGTATGTGAACAGTATGTGCACATAACTGTATAAGACTATGTGTGAGCATGTGTACATATGTTAGAAATTAGAGAACTGAGTTTTCATATGAACTATGAGATCTTCTTACTAGTTGAGCTTCCAGTTGCTGTTCAGCTTTTTCATTCCTAAGATTGTTCCTTTGTACCTACCACTCGTTTCTATCAACCTAACAGGGTTGCTGTGTGGGCAAAATGAGAGAAGGGCAAAGTATTATGCAAGGCCGGGTAGTATTACTATTATGAGTTATCATCCTTTTTATCATAATAATATGAGCCCACATATTATGCTTAGGAGAAGTTTTGTCGAAAGGCTCACTTCTCAATATTCTGTTTCTCAAACCAAAAGCAGCAATATTACCTGGGAGCCTGTTAGGAATGCAGAATTTTGGGCCCTGCCCCAGACTTTCTGAATCAGAATCTTCATTTTCACAAGGTCCCTGGGGTGATTCGCCCAACATTGAAATGTGAAAAGCAATATCTAGAGTGAACCGTCTAAGATGGTACCCACCAGCCATGTGCGGCCATTAAGCCTTGAAATGTCCTAGTCTGAGCTGAAACTCACTATAAATGCAAAATACACACCAGAATTTGAAGATTTAATCTGACCATAATTTAAAGTATCTCAATACATAATTATATTTGGATTACATGATGAACTGATAACATTTGAGCACCTTGATAAAATAAAATGCTACTAAAATCCATTTCACCTAATTTTTTAAATACATTTTTAAAAATATGGTTATCAGAAAACATATGTGGCTCACATCATATTTCTATTTTAGCAGAGTGGTGGTTCTCAAAGTGTGGCCTCTTAATTTGCAGCAGGAGCATCACTTGGGAATTCATTAGAAATACAAATTCTTGGAAACCCTGGGCAGGAGCCCCAGCAATGTCTTTTAACAAGAGCTACAAGTGATTCTGATGCATATTAAGTTGAAGTATCAACTGCTAGAGAAAGAATTGTAATGTTGGAAATGAGTCAATGCCACCCATATGAGTTTACCAAAAAGCAGACATTGTTCTCAGGGCTAATGTGTCTCAGTAATCCTTTGAGGATCTTTCTGACTTACAGAACCCTTCACTATAGGACATGGACAACTCTGGTGGATCTAAGGCCACACCCGACTATTATCTCCTGACTTTCTGGCCTTTACCTTTCTGGGCTTCAGCACCCTCAACTCTAAAATGAGGGATTTGGACTAAAAGATGTTTCAGTAATTTCCATCCCACAAGAACTCTGTGCTGACGACCAGAATCTGCAACACGGGCATTACCTTGAACTGCAGCATGCTTTCCGTGTGGTAGATCACGCTGATCCTAAGGGAGCTGATCTCTGCAGAAAGAGGGTGAGAGGTGGCGGCTGCTGCTGCAGGTGTATGTCGCGTGCTCCGTGGTGATGGTGCTGCTGCTCGAGCTGACTCAGGGGCTGTCAGGTGGGTAAGGTCTGTGGTGATGCCAGTGGGTGAATACTGAATATTACTGGGAGCATACTTAGGGATGGTGTCATAGAAACAGGTGGGCACACCAGGAACAACTGTGTTCTGCAATGAGAGGATGAATTCTCAGTCAGCCTCCAACACCACACTCTGATTTCTAAAAAATGTTGGTTAACACAGACTCTCTGACACTGTGCCCATTATTATGTGTTCAATTATGTTCCCCCAAAAAGATGTTAAGTCCTAACACCTGGTACCTTATTTGGATATAGGATCTTTGCAGATGACCTAGTTAAATGAGATCATTAGGGTGGGCCTAATCCAATATTAACTGGTGTCCTTATTAAATAGGGAAATTTGGGCACAGAGATAGATATGTTCCCAGGGAAAGAACACCATGTAAAGAGGAAGGCAGAAATTGGGGTGACATTTTTATAAGCCAAGGAACACCAATGATTGCCAGGAAAACATAAGAAGTTAGGAGAGAGACATGGGACCAATTGTTCCTCGAAGCCCTCAAAAGGAACCAACCCTGCTAACACCTTGATTTTGAACTTCAGCTCTCAAAACACTGAAATGATATAGCGTGTCCCAAAAAATATATACACACTTCGAATAATTACTCATTCCAATGTTTCTTTCTTTTCAGATTTAACCCATTGGAATGAATAATTATTCAACGTGTGTATATTTTTTGGGGGGGGGGCGGCACCTGTATGTTTGTAACAGGTGAGTAGTGAAGGGTCAGCAGGTAGCTTGATCTGGAGACTGGAATCCTAAGGCAGGATTCTGCTCCCAATGCCCCCAAACTATACCACTTTGCCATGGGATAGTTGCCCCCATTGTGACATTAAGGAAATCACTTATTTTCTCTTTCTCTGGCTTTCATTCTCTCTGTTTTTCAAATGGAGGGGAAGATTCATACCTTACCTTCCGGCCTGAACTCTAATTGATGAAAAAAAATCGCTTAAAATACTCAATGCACAATGTATTGTTGCTATGTTAAAAATAAAAGTGGGGTTTAGAATAAGGAGGTTAGAGAAAAGAGGGAGCCAGGGCAGCAATGAGTTTCTTCTCATTCAGGATATCTGAGGGAAACACTGATTGCCTGCCACTCAGCGTTGACAAAACGCTGCATCTGTTGGCACAGGATTGTTTTCTTTCTGAAAAATGATTCCCATTCAACCCAACAGTGTTTGGAAAACGTTTCTTGCTGCCTAATCACTCCTGGGCCAGTTTTTACAACTTCCTACTCACTGCGGTAATCTGCTCCTCATCCTTACCTCCCAAAGGCACCCCCGCTGCTTGCACTTCTCCTCAGAGGCAGTGGGATCCTCAGGGTAGCAGTTGAACTTCTCTTGGTCACTGACCAAAAGAGTCCACCTCATGGAGAATTCTTGTCCCAGTACCAGTCCCTCGAGATCAGTGATTTTCACCACCTGAGGAATGAGAAAGGAGGCCACAGTGACAAATGAGGAGAAATAGAGACACCTGGATAATGTCCTTCCCTGATGGTTGGGAAGTCAAGCATGGGGGAGCTAGCCTTTTATCCAATCCCACTTTGCCTTGGGATGGCCTTCGTCCAATACAACCTTGCCATGTGACATCCTTCATCTAATGTCACTTTACCTTAAGATAGCCTTCATCCAATACCACTTTGTCAGGGGATAGTTGGAATATTATTGTTCCTCCTCTGGGACTTTTGACCTCCCTGCCAGGAAAATGCACTTGGCTCATTCCCGAACCTTCTCACCTCAAGTCACTATAGAATACTGAATAGGAAAGGCTTTCATCATGTTAAGGAGTACTAATCACTGGGAGGGCTGTCATTGTTGGGCAATTGCCTTCTGGGAGTGATGCCTGTACATTTTAATAATGGTGACAATTATAACAATAGCTAAGTTTTATTGAGCATGTATGTGGACCAGGCACTGTGATAACTACTTTATATGCATTGCCTCTATTAATGCTATAAAGCAATCTTATGCTGCAAAAAATATGGCTCTCTCCATTTCACAAAACAGAAAACTGATGTTCATAGAGGTTAAATGCTTTGCCCAAGATCTCACAGCTAAGGGCTGGTAGAGCTAGGATTGGAATCCCATTCAGCCTAACTCTAGAATCCAAGCTCCTATCCTTGGGTATATGTGTTGCCTAAATGGAAGGAGGCCTCCCTACAAGATAGGGAATTCCTAAGCACTTGAAATACTCAACTAATAATTGGGATCTTTTGTCTGAGATTATCATGTAAGGGACTCATTCAATAAGGACAAAACCACCCAGCCGGCTTGGCTCAATAGTTGAACCTATGAACCAGGAGGTCATGGTTCAATTCCTGGTGCCCGATCCCCAATGTGGGGCATGCAGGAGGCAGCCAATTCAATGTTTTTATCTTTCTTTCTCCTTTCCTCTCTGAAATCAATAAAAATATATTTTTAAAAATAAGGATAAAACTGATTACCCCTGCTGTTTTATTCAACTCTCATTTTCTATAATGATATAAAAATTGCTTAAAACACTAAGGAAAATATCAGCTGTGTCTCAAAGGGGGTCTTTAACTCAATGAGAGGGTAAATGTGTAAATACCTTCTAGAACAGGGGTGGGCAAACTTTTTGACTCGAGGGCCACAATGGGTTCTTAAACTGGACCGGAGGGCCGGAACAAAAGCATGGATGGAGTGTTTGTGTGGACTAATATAAATTCAAAGTAAACATCATTACATAAAAGGGGACGGTCTTTTTTTTCATTTCAAACGGGCCGGATCCGGCCCGCGGGCCGTAGTTTGCCCACGGCTGTTCTAGAACAAGGCCAATGTATCAAATAATATAGTTTGAATAATAATGTATGGAACTGCATCACATGTGGGATCAGAATGTCTAGTTTTAAATTTGCCCAGAGAACTGCCTTCTTCCAGGTCCCACTGAAAGGACTGTCTTTTTCAAAGTTCAGGGGTTCATGTTTAGCGAGCACATGTTTCTCTGTCTGTATCCTTCCTAGGGTGTGGTCGATTTCCCAGCATGCCAGTGTCTCTGTGCCCCTCCAAACTCAATAGAGCGAGAGAGAGCTGGCTGTCAGAATCTCAGGGCTGTCAGCTTCCAGCAAGGGCCCTGCAGGATGGCAGGATGGAACAATTGCCCACCTTCGTTGATGCATTGTAGCTAACGTTTAAAATGGCAATATCATTAAGGACAAAATTAGTAGGTTCTTTGTCCATTCCCAAGATTATGATATCTGTAAATGTGAGGTTGTCGGGGTCCATATAATTATTTGTAATCTTTGCTTGTAGATGGTTCTGGAAAAAAAAAAGTCAGTTTAGAGACCAAGTATATCACATTCTAACTGTGCCCAATGCCACTCAACATCTTTCTTTCTATGATCTAAATTATATCCTTTATCTCTGAGGTTCTAGATAGTGTCTGATGATCTTCCCCAGGAAATATGTTAACCCAGACACTTAACAGTCCTAAGTCTTAGTGTAATATTTTATGCTTGCTTTGGTTCTCTGGTTATTTATTGATTCCATTATTTAGAAAATATGTTCCTGACATCATGGAATTTTCAAGCAGATGTGATGGATACCAACAAAGAAAACAAAAAGACAGAAGCCCACAAGAGAACCTTTAACACACAAAGGATACACACAAAATAGTGCCCACATAATTTTTTTTGTATTCTAATTATAATACTGATAAGAGCTTAATTGCATAAATGCTTACTATGTGTCGGGCACTGTACTAAGCATTTTACATGTACCATCTCATTCAAGTCTCACAGCAAACTATGAGGTTGAAGCTCTAATTATCTCAACTTTTTCAGAGGAAGAGAATGAAGCCCAGAGAAATTAGATATCTTATTCAGGGAACCACAGTTCAAAAGTGACAAAGTTGAGCTACGACAAAGAAAGTGGAACTGAAGACTAAGGGGGGAAAAAGGAACACTTTGATGTTTAGAAAGACTAGGCATCCCACAAATATGCCCCACTGATTTCTGCAAAGGTGCAAAAGCAACACAGTGGAGAAAGAATAGCCTTTCAACAGATGGTGCTGGGCCAACTGGATGTACATAGGCAAAAAGTTGAACCTCAACCTAAA